AAGATATAAAAAAAAAAACAAAGGTTGAAGGAAACGCCGGGTAAGAAAGAGACATGAAAGAAAAAGGCAGTAGGACACGCAATTATATATAGTAGAATATAATTTTGTTGTAAAATAAGTGGTGAGTGAGGTCGCCTTTCAAGATATTTTAGCAGCTGGTTAAAACAACACAAAGTTAAAGTATTTAGAAATATTTCCAAGCATCTATCTAATGAGAATTTCGCCCTATTCAGGCTTTTGACTCATATTAATTGTCTGAAGATTTTCTAAAACGTTTCGCTGTAAATTCAACACTAATCGATATCCTTGCAGATTAGCTAGAAAGCCAACAATCAAAAAACAACGCCACGTCGACAAAAAAAAAAAAATCGCTCCACAAACAGAAATATTCACGTCAGCTCTCACGTTTTACTGGCAGTATTGGAGGTTGGCGGCAAAATATTGCTACACCTTATCTCAATTGTTGGCTAAGGACCGAAGGACAATATGATTCTGTGAAATCATACAAATTCTAATTTAGTAGGAGGAAGTATTTTCATATCCAACGTCCAACAGGCGCTGGTTAAATGCCGCCAGCATTACGGGTTATGCTGACAATCATAACAATTCCAATAGGCGGCACAATATGGATTAATATGCCACTTGTACAGTTAGGGCGACTCATTTTAAATGTAAGACGACATACATAGAGTTTATGATACGAATAACATCTAATAGTAATTCCATGAGGGCGATTGCCCGTTAACATGGAAGAAAACAGGAGTGGCGCTATGGTGTACGAATCTGCAAAAAGACCTTCCATTTATATGAGAAAAAAAAGAAACCAGCATTCAAAGTAAGACTAGAATTACATATTACGAGCTAACACTTGTATAAACCCGGTATCACAAATAAGTAACTAAAAGTCGACAAGTTTTTTGTGAGTTGTTGAGTTAGTTCATCGATATCAGCACCGACCTTTAAGTTCACTTTGAGATATTAAAGAACGCTATAAATATCAATATATAAAACTTTTTTTTAAAGAGTTTTTCCGAGTTTTAAGCGATTATAAATAAATTTTGCGGGAGAATCCCAACTAATTACGGACTTTGCCTACAAACTTCTGTATCTTTGCACTATTTTGAAATAAAATGAATAGAGATAAAGCGAGAGGCGAGTAAGGAAGCTGGCTCGGAAATGGAATGCCTTGTAAGACGTTAAACTCCCACTCGTTTATGTTGAAAGCAATATACGTAGGCCAAACACTTCTTGATCTGGCGATATCATCGCTGAGAGAAGTGCATAGGTTTACAAGGAGGTTGATTAGATTACACAAATAAATTGAAAGCAAAAGCTCCTAGTTTAGTAAATCGGAAATTTTTCAACCAATCTTCGTAGTAAATATAATAAAATAAAAGCTTAAAGTATTTCCACAAATACGAGCTCTTTGTATGAATTCCTACGAAATTCCATTTTAGTATATTTATCGCGTAGAGTAGATTTCTTAGAAATATTCGGTTTAAAATTTTCGCCTTTTATTTTCAAATTGCAAAAATAAATTGCAGGGTAGTAAAGACATTAAATCTTAAAGATATCCTTGTATTTATGTTTGTGTCATTGCGATTTTATTCCTGGTTGCCGGGAAAACGAACGTAATGCAATGCGTGGGTGGCTAATGCCTGCTCATATATGTCTGTAATCGGCTTCTGTTTGTGTGCGAAAATTTTTTATTGTTTCAAGTTTCTATCCTTTTACTGTAACTTTGATCCTTTTGTTCACGAGTTCGAAATATATCTGTGAATGCGTGCAAGCATAAGTTTGCCGTCATATTGTACATGAGTTTAAAGGTTAGATGGAAAAAAACACACACTCTCCAGTCGCACTAAGAGAAGCGAGCAATGAAAAAGAAGAAAATAAAAATATGTTATAACATTATTGTAATTAGAAGCACGTATTAAACGATAAGTAAATGGTAAAATAATTTAAAAAAATTAAAATATCATCTCTCTTTAGTTTTTTCGTTGAGTTTGTATTTTACTATTGTACCAATCAATCGTTTTTGTTCCTCATACTTGCATTAACGGGTTGGGTTGATAAGAATAATATTTCTCTGAGTATGTAATAAAAAGTATAAATTCGTTCACCTCAAGAGGCTTAAGAAATTTAAAAAGTTTTGTACCATGTAGTGTAATAGGGTTACCATTTCCATCAGCCATTTATTACAATGGGAGTAAAGAAACTTGGTCCTTCAAGTCAAATTGCTTCGTAGTTCGTTCAACTATCTGTATCAAGCACTTGCTTCCGCTAGTTCCACAAATCTTTACTCTATTCGGCTTTGAATCTTTACTTTGTAGTAGTAGACAAAGTAGACCGACTTGAACTGTTTCCAATAGCTTTCGTCCTTACTACCGAGTTTCATCAAAATATCTCGAAACTTACAAGCAGTAGCTCGAGCACAAAAATACATGGGCAATCATCAGACCGACAGACGGACCGATACGCTGGTAATAATATTCACCGTCGATTGGTGTAATAAACGTTGGGTCTACCTTAAGCCTTTAAGAGTATTACTTACGTTCGCACGAACTTAATGTCTCGTGTACCACCGGTGGTGTGTGCTATAAAAGTAAATCTTTAAAACAAAATATCGGCTACAATCAGCCCGAAATTCTAAAACAATTTAAGCATGTCTGTCTTCCCGTCCGTTTATCTGGCTGTGCAATGTCTATAGTAAGCACTCTCCTGGCCACATATAGGGGATAGAAATTTGCAAGCTCTTGTACGCCGGTTCGTATTGAAAATGGGTCAAATTGGTCAGGCTTGGAACACTACGCGGAATGGAAACAGTTTTTTTTTCCCATTACTCACAAGTTCCATCAATAAATGTTTATATATTTTATTCTAACGCAAAGGTGAGGGAGTATAAAAGATTCAGTCATAGCCGAATTTAATTTTCTTATGAATAATGAGTTAAAAACCCGAAAAGCCGAGGTGTTCTTAGTTTACGTGGTACTGCAGACGATATTTCCTCATTTCACTACCGATAGCTTCATTTTTGCGGCCAGAAAAATGTTTAAAACAGACATTTCCGGGCGGATGGACATGTTTCATTCGATTCAGAATTTGATGCTAATCAAAAGCATATACACTTTTGCGGCTTCTCCTCTAGGCGTAGCAAACGTTTTCACAAAATGAATATAATTCCATCTCTCGATGGTAAGCAACAACAACTAAAACGGAAGAAAGTCGTAAGTACCTGGTAGTAGTTGAAATGACTGCAACTCATCCACTGATAAAGCAAGTTGCATTATTTTCGATTAACAATTGTATGTAGTGATGTTCTAAAGAGTAAACAGAAATGTTTTCAAAGTTCGTAAATTTTATGTACGCAATACATTCTTTTAATCAAACAAAAAACTATAAAATTTTTTATTTACAAAAAAACCTAAAAAAATTCCAAAATATACGCAAGTGAACAAATATTAATTGTTTTCTCGCAAAGTCTTAATTAAGATATCGGTTGATTGTGAATGCTTTCAAAATATTCAATATTTTATTCAAATCAGTTCGGTCACATCCAAATGAATGCAATGCACTCATCATCCTTCCGCGATGAGCATACAAAGTATTGTACACTATCTGCGAATGGACATCTTTTAAGCGGAGTTGTGTATGGTCGTTTGTTTCGAAATATATATATATATATATATAAAGACATCGAATCATTTCCAAGGCCTTCTGCTGCGACAATGTCGTGATAATAACTGTTATTTTTTCCTTTTATTTTTTTATTATTTAATTTCAATGTCCACTTCAATCATACATTAAGAAAAGTAAAATTTCTAAGTTGTCTGCAAAAATAATGTCTGTCTATTCGCAAATATCCTTGAGCGATATGAAACCATTTGTTTTTTCGAAGAAAGAAAACTTTTGCCGTGAGAATGAATGAAAGAAAACTTACTCTTGCGTTATATAAAATATTTTTCTTAATTCCTCTTTCACCTGTCTATGGAAAGGACTGCGTTGTTTATTGCAAAGCCGAGCCATTGATATATATTTTCTATCCTAAAACAAACCAAATTCACTCAGACGTACTCTTCGCCCCGTAATATCTAACAAATTTTTTATTATATATTTCAATAACAATTCTATTTACATAGAATTTATTACATTTTGAGTAAAGGAACTTTTCTCCATAGACACAATTGTTTTGCTGTTTGCTTCAACTAAATCTTAACCGAGCGGTTGCTTTTACTATTTTTGCTTTGTTCATGCTTCGTTGGGCTTTGAGTTTCTTTTCTTTCTTATTATTTTCTGTTTTTGTTATCTACTTTGTTTATCTTGATATCATGAACGTATGCGATGTGAATGAATGTGTTGCAAAGTATGTTAAAAACACGCATCCGATTCTTTATATTACCTTTTCATCATTTTAATAAAGTGAGTTAAAAAAAATTTTTGTTTACTCACTTTTGATTTTACAATTTAGTATTAAGGCCATATGTTCTGAGAACTTTTTTATAAAAATAAATTTTCAAAACATTTAATTGCACTTTAATTCATTACATAAAATAGTCATAGAGGATTCGTTGAATAATTTAAGAGTTTAATCCAAAAAAAACTTGTTAAAAAACAATAAAAAAATATTGTGATTTTATTGAATTGATTAGGAATGTTTAGGCACCAAAAAAAAACATGAATATCGGAATGGAATGGAAACTGGCAAGTGGGTTAAATCCTCAAGTCACAAAGCAAAATGTTGTTTCTTAACGAACAACAGAAGTAATAGACCGACCATATCCATCTGCTTTGGTGGTGTCAGTGAAGAAAAATCAGCAATTTTGGTATTCTGGTCGTGAAAGTACAAAATGATGTTCGTGGGAGCGAATATGTTTTCGATGTAAGATTAGAATATCTTACGTACCATTGGGCTACCGCCTGTACGTGTAGGCTGGACGCTCTTTACTGCGTGCGTCGGAGATCTTACACGCTCATGCGCGACAAATGTGTGTCCAAAACACTCGCTTCTCTTAGGGTAAGAGCAAGAGTAAGGTGAATTGTTGTGTGCTTAGGTGCAGAACAAAGCCAAAGATAAGAACAATTAGTTCATCAAACAACTTTCTTAAGAGGACTGCGCAAATTTGTCAGCGTTCCAGCCCTCTCATCTTAGAGGAGCCTGCATTTCGCACGATAGCCGAAAGCCGCCTGTCTTGTCATTCTTCAACACAACTGTCCGCCCGTGGGATAACTAATTAGCGTTTGTTTTTGGCGCCAGTCCAGATGCCTCCACTTTCATAGCGAATGTGCACAACTACTTCTTTCGAAAGAAGAATCTTTCTCCACTATCACCATACCCCTACGTGTATGAGACATTCCGCGATTGGCCGATCAAAAGGAAAAAATGTAATTATAAAATATGAGTGATGACCAAGAGATATATGAAAAAAATTAAATTTTTTCTCAATTTCTAACATTACCTGTCATTCCACCTTTTTTGGTCCTAGAAATTATTTCTTTTGTGTAAGCAAATTGTAATAATAATATAATAATAGCTAGTGGTACATAATGTATTGGTGATAATCTAATAGTGCAATGTACGACTGTCAGCCGGGTCCGCAACTTGGTTCGATGCCTGATGTTATTGACTATACTTCAATCGCGCGTTACCTAAGCTAACATCCTTCAGATCAATGTCCGATAAAGATCCAGCAAGTGTCCTCTTTTCAAGCCATAAGGATGTCTTTAAGAAAAACGTTTCATTAGAAAATAGTTTAGGAAGATCCTTCCACCTCTCATCCTTCAGTAAATATTATTGAAGGTAACATTTTGATATGAATTGCAACTATGGCTTCTGTGTTTATTATGTCTATTATGTGTCTATTAGGAAAGGCATAAGATGTTCTCGAAAATATTGACTTTCTAATACATAAAAATATTCTTTGGAAAAATAAATCAGTTACAAACCGTTTCAATCATATTAAGAACTTCTAGGTAGGATTTGAGATGCTTCGCTTAAAAACTCAGATGCAATCAAAGTAAGATTAGCTGAATTTGGGAAGAAAGCGATTAAAATTTAAAAGGCTAGCCTTTCAAATCATCTTTAAAGTAACGATTGCATCCATAAATTCACAATTTTGCACATAAGAAATTCAAGCTCCCACGAGGTCTTTTATACCCGCGTATTTAGAGGCCCATTGAAAATGATGAAAGGCACAATAAAAAGATAACACTTTCAGGATAACATTTCTCCTTAAGAAAACGTCAACACCAATTTCATGTTAATCGTAGACGTCCCCCTGAATCGATTTATCTAATTCCTCGTTGTTAAGACAGCAGTCATGACTGGCAGCTAAATCGTTGCATAAATTGATTCTGTGATTTGTACTAATCACGAATAGATATTCTTTTTATTGAAGTCTACATTCCCGCCCTTATTTTTCGCAAACATTAAGTAAATGTAATGATTTTTTGTAATTGCTCTTGAAAATTGCTCTAGAAAATACGTACGTTATATAGAAATGCCTTCAGTGTGAATATACGAGTGTGTCAATGAAGCGACATCGAGTCTCATAATACTTTTGCATGCACGAAAAATCGTTGCATTCTTCTTGTTTTTTACCATGAACTTGTTTAGGACTTGTTTAGCGTCCGCCTGTGCTTATGTGTAAATATGTGCGTGTTGTGCGGTGCATGAAAACATGTATAACCGTTTTGTAAGTAATACTTACACGCTTGCTATTGCGTCCTTTGAGGCAAACATTTTTCGATAAGACGTGTGCGGAATTTCAAAATAAATTCCAAGCAGAAACCAATTCAAGGGGCAAAGTGTTGGACCTTACACACAAGGACAATTGCAGTAAATTTATGTATACAGAAACATCGTTGTTGCATTGAAATTTGCTATTGCTTGTAATTTAATCAGAACCAAAAGCTACGAAAGAAAAGTTAAAAGAGGAGAGAAGAAGACAAAAAAAAGGTAAGAAAGCCAACAAGTTGAAACAGTAAAGAAATGAAAGCGAATTGTTTTTGTAATAGAAAAAGAGAAAGAAAGGGAAGACGGAAGTAATTGTGTGTTGTCTATGTTACCATTCTTTACATACTTGACAGTTTCGGTTCCTGACAAAAAGAATATTCGCATACAAGACATGACAAAATTTTCAACCGTTTTAATAATAGATATACATAAAAAATATCGAATATTTCGGACTATGAGTCTCTCCGTCTGTCCGCAATTTTCTGGTGAAATTTATTACAGTGACGTGTTATCGCTTAACGTCAAACGCTCTTGCAAATGCTTCGGATGGGACTACTTTTTCGACCATTTCCCATAATAACTGCCTTAAACGAAGTGGTCAAGGGTATCTATGGTGGGCCGTGACCTATTATAATATTTGTACTTGTTTAAATATGGTATTTTCTTTATAGTGCACGTCAAATCTTAGAGAATAGCTGGTCAGTGATGTTTCTGCCGCATTTAAATAAAGATTGTGATAAAAGCGGCTCGAAAGCACTTACGTTAATCATTAAATAAGTTCACATTTCATTCGCAGGCACATGATATATGTCATCTTCATTCATCTAGTGTCATGGTTTGTGAAAAAAAAAACTTAAAAAAAATCTTCCTTATTGATGTCAAGACGGCAACTTTGGTAAGATTTTTTGATCGAAAGTAGGTAACAATGAAATAAGTTTTCAACAGTGTATAAAGGAGAAATCATATTTCTTAGATGTACAATATATAATGATAGCGGAACTTTTTAATGACGGGAGTTTTGGCTTGAAAGACGTATTATAGAAAATACCAGTGATCGAAACAGATATTTTTTGGCCGATATAGGCATGGATACTCAGACAATGGAGCACTTGGCTCCTTCTTCTCATTTTGCCAGATATGTATACAACGTGCCTACGCATTCCCTTTACTTTTGTGGATTTCAATTTGTATAGTGAAACTTATGTAGCATTCGACGAAAATCCTACTATTGTTGTTGTAAATCAAATGAATCGAAACGTACGATAATTGATCAATCTAGTAGTAGTTATAGTAGAAAAAGAAATTTGGGTATTCCGTATATTCGACTAGATCAGTGCTTCTCTCTAATAAATATGAACCTGTCATAATATTAATATTTGCAACAAGCACATCAAGCATGCTGCAAGTGACATTTCGCATTCAATTATTGCCCGTGGCCATAGGGCCTGAGTGATACGATAACACTTTGCATGATCATACTCTTCGTGTACACCTGTAAACATATAAACACAGAAAAAGGTTAATATCTTGGAGGCAAGTCCGGCATTCACTTTTAAAAATTTAATTTTGTAAATATATATGAATTTTTTTACAAAATAACCATAAAACGGTATTATGAATATATGTGGGTATCATGTCATGTGCTGCAATGTAATATCAACTGAGTTTCCGCTTTAACTTTATAAAGTCATCTTTTTCGATTTTTCTCTTTTTTTTTTTCTTTTTTTTTTGATAATAAATAAACACACATTCAAATAGTTTTGGTTGCGATGATATAGCTTCTATAAAAATTGTCCTCAACGCAATATTTCGTACATCGTTCCTGCCGGATATGTGCACAAATAAAATGAAAGAGTGATGCGGTAATAAAAAACTTTTCAATTTTTTTTTTCTTTTTTTTTCTCAAAGCCTCAGTGACATTTTTTATTGCCTCCGTACGAAAATTTCGAGTTATGTCGCTTACAGTTTTTCTTTTTTCGAGCGGGCATAGACTAAATATGTTCAAAGTGTCATCCTTTAATTGAAGGCTGAAATTTGCGAGACATACAAATTTGAATTATTGTTTATTCACGGAAATTGCAAAAATGCTTCTGATGTGCTGCTGTTATTATTTTCAAAAAGTAAAAACTTTTCGCAAATCTGCTAAACGATGCCCGTCAGGCATGGAAAGAATATTGCAAATATTTGTAGATTTCCAGCGAAAAGTATTTCCATAGCTTTATTTCAGGTAGGTTTATCGCTTTGTCGACCATTATAAAGATTGTGGTGAACCAACCTAAATATGTCACATCACCCGGTAAGTCTCTGGTCTGATTCAAATATGGCAATACTGTTGAAAATGGTAGATAATATTTGGACGGTACGAATCTTCAAATGATACATGACCTGCCGATCACTAGTTTCCAAGTTGCAGTCGTGGCAATACTCTTGAAAATGGTAGATAATATCTGGACGGTACGAACCTTCAAACGATACATGACCTGCCGATCACTAGTTTCCAAGTTGCAGTCGTTTATTTGTAGAATTATATCAAACTGTAGAGAAGTATGACTTCAAATATCATACGTAAATGATTCATGCCGTACATTCATACGTTCATACATCGCATTTTATATCGTACAAGAAAATTTCATTGCAATCTACTTTTGTGTTCCATAAAGAGCAAAATCTCCGTTGTCTTGGTTACGTTCTTCGGTCCTTTCACTTACCATAACATATTCAAGTCTTTCCTTCTTTTAATACAAGCTAATAAAGTGATGATAGTAGCAGTAGCAGATATTAACAAATTTATATCCAACTTCGCCGTACACTGATTCTATCTTTAATTGGCAACTAATTGTGCTCTTATTGATATAGGATCATAGCAAAAACTTTGAATCTTTTACGCTTTGTATACACAAAAAACACTGTAAACGGTTGATGCGATTAGCCATTGACTGAAAGCATTACTAGCCTTCGTTCTTTGCTCCTTTGCCTCTGACCACAGATTTTACTTTTTATTTACTTATCTCCTTAGCTGATTGTTTGACCATCTTTCTATCGTAATGTCGGCGTATATTGTTTCCCCTTTCCCTTCATTTTCCACCTTTATGTTATCAAATTGTTCGAATATTGATTTGCTCTTCTTCTTTCTTTCTTCTCCTTACAGTATTCGATAATAGAAGATGATACGTCTGATGCAAATATTATGATGAAAGTACTTTCTACTACACCCTCCCGCGTTCGCTTAAGACAATTAACAATTTCATTTTATTGAGAAGTGAAGAATTTTCACTTTACAGAAGTGTGCCAAGGAAAACTAAGACAAAGTGAACATTTTGTTGCAAAAGGTAAGTGTTTCGAAGAATTGTCTTTAATGTACGTAGTAAAGTGTTGGCGATCCAAAAATAAAAAAAAAATAAAAATTAAAACAGTTTGACAGTTGTCCACTTAGCGTTAGTAAAAATGAAACATTACACGAGAGAGCAATGCGTTTTCATTGTTGAGTAATATTACAAATGTAATGCCAGTTTGGCGACCATATCTCGCAAACTTCGTACAAAATGAGTTCGTTAATCGTCATAGTTGCCACTTTTGAGTTTCAGAGAATCCATGATTGTCGAAAAACAAATGCATCCACAAAATTTCATTAGTGCATGAGACATTCCGTGATCGTGTACCCTGTCCGAGGAAATTTCAATAAAAGAGTGCGCATGTGCCAGCAAAGCTACATAGATCATTTGCCCGACATGCTATCCCACACATAGCCCTATCCTATGTACATTATGATTTGATCAAAAAATTACAATTAAAGAAAAAAAAAATCTGCTTACTATTTAATCCGAATCTTTGCTAAATTTTTGGGACACCCGAACAGTCTTTAATGGAATATACTTATTAACACTTAATTAGTCCGTGCAAAATTTATATTCTATTCCCATCAGATTTCATAGAGGTTGCGATTTTATAAATACCAATAAAGACAGATAGATAAAAACGATCACGACTTTCTCGTTATAAATGGCATAAATTTATTTACTATTCTGTCTGTTCTCATCTATTACAGTTTATGTGCTTGCTACTCAAGCATCTTTAGGAGATAAAAAATCGAAATGCATCGAACAAGCGCACGTTTCTATCGATGCTTAAAACATAATTAAAGTGCTTATATATTAGATCTTCGATCAGTGCATTGTTAAAATGCCGATATCAATTTCTGCTGCTAGTTACTATGAACCACTCTATGTATCTACTTGGCAAAATAAATACAAAAAATCGCCTGCTGGAAAGATGCATATTACTTAATAATTAAACCATCAGAGACAAGCACAACAAAGATAAGATTTGTCTGCCTGAGATTGTCCTCATTTATATATTTATTCCTTTTTTCTATTTACTTAGCGCAAAGTGGATGAACAAACTGAAGCATAGAAGAAATTTCCGTAATAAATTATAGAAACAATGAAAATTCAACTTTGCCGGCAAAGCCATCTCTAAAGAATATATAATTGCTTATCGTTGTTTCTTCTCTCTCTCTCTCTCACCGTTGTTCTTTCTCTCTCTCTCTCTCTCTCTCTTTCTCTCTCTCTTTCTCTCTCTCTCTCTCTCTCTAGCTCACCGACTTTCAGCCGTCTCTCTAATTTCTTACCTTTTGTTACTTATTTAATTTTCTACGTCTGCTACGGCTAGATACATGAAAAATGAAGTCCTTGTAGTAATTTATACGAGCATACATAAAATTATTGTAGCTTGGGATGAAGTGGGAAAAAAAAATTGGAAAAAATTATAGAAGCAGCTAAATGACAGTAACAATAGCCAACCAGTAGAATAACTTGAACTGCTTAGAGGCATAAGCTACTACCATACGACTGCAGCAGCCAGAATCGCAGACTTGCAGAACTTTACAACACGATTGACTGGCTGCACAAGGCAGCAACTGAAATGACTTCGAAGATAGAGAGGAAGACAATTCCAACAATTTCAAATGAAACAAATGATAAAATTATATTCGGCTCGAAGCGAATCTTTTATATCCACCATCCACTTTACCTTAAAAAAGACTAAAAAATGAAAGAAGCAAAATATTGGGTAGTCGCGGATGATTCTTTTCCAATTTTCGTAGAAAATAATCGGATAGTTTTCACATGCATCGATTAGAGTCTATAAGCAGTAAGTAGCAAGAAAAAGATTCAAAAAGCAGAATTATTCTTGCTTCGTTCTTTGGCCTAATTGGCCCTTTGTTTAGGTTTAGTTTTGCCAAACTTGAATCCGATATCAAAATTTTTGCAGCCGGGGGAATATTTACTGCAGATATTAAGCAGATAGGTAGGCGGACATGGATGAACAGACTTATTTAGACGGATTCCGAATTTGATGCTGGCCAAAAATGGCCATACTTTATGAGGTCTTTTAAAGTTTCCTTCTGACCGATGTATTCGTTTTCACAAAATTATGAAATACTCTACAGTATTAGAGGGACGTGAATGATTTTTTCCTTTTCGAAAAAGTACTGGGAGTTGATTTACAAAATAAACGTCTAAGTTTTTATGCTTTTATCCACTATAGTGTATAAGCACCTAATACTTTTTTTTTCTTCTGAAAATCGGAAATGACCTTTAAGCTATACTTGTGCCCTTGGTAGGCTTTGCGCCTTCTTCAATACCATGCTGCCTGCTGAAATTTCAATTGTTTTCGCTAAATTTGAAGTTGTTATCTTCATTTCTGAAAATACACATTACGAACAAATCGAATGCAAAATTTGATGATTATCCAGAATGAGGCCTCTGGGAATTTCTTGTGGATGTTGCAAAGGTTTTGACAAAATGAATGCGACCTCGTCCATAGGTTATGTGTAGAACAAAAATAGAATTTTTCACATGGCCACACCTTAACTGTGTATTATGTTTACCACTGCAAATTTTAACTGCCGTAAGGCAACAATGGATGTTTTCCACTGACAACAACCACACGTACAAGTTACAATTACTGCCTGTAACTGTAATTTTCAAAATTTTCAAATTAGTATTGTGCCGTCTGCTAGTATGCTGTCAGTCAGTCAGTTAAAACAAATAAGGTCGGTCCATGCGTCCAACAGATCGTCTATTACTAAGGAAAGCTAATTTTATTCTTTTAAATAATTCAGAAATTTCCTCAAATTCATATGCACACACACCATAAGCCACAATACTCGAGAACTTACGTTGGGTGAATAGCTGTTTTTTGCCATTTTATTCGAGACTTGTTAGCTATAATTATTCTCTGCTTACGCTCATTCAAAATTTTTGTAATATAAGAGCTTGAGTCTTTTCATTTTTTATTCATTTTCTTTGACAGTTTGCGGTCATAACAAGCCAAAGCCGCCAACTCAAGAACAGTGTATTGCGAAAAAAGCTTCTAAAATGTAAAATAAAAGCATAGAGTGGTGTTAGACACAACTCATATTAAATTTGTATATGAATGCAAAGCTGCCTAAAACGTTGTGGTAAGAAAAATGTTGCACTTTTACTAACTCGTTAACGCTAATGGCGGTTATTTGGACATATTTTTAAACATACTTCTTATTAAAGCAATTACTTAAGAAAAAAAGGGGATCGAAAAAGTCGAGCGTTTTATTAACCTTTTCGCTGAGTTGTTTGACTCCAACGATGTAATGGGATATTTTACAAATAGTTTTGTTTTTTTTCTTTATGATGAACTAATAGTGGGACGGGGGCGATTTCACTAAATTCATGAAATGATCTCATTTGAAATCACTGGCGTTTGTATTGCCATCAAAAACACATGGCTGTTCAATTTCGACCCATTAACATATGAGCCGTTTTCTTTGAAAATGGTGTAAGATCATTTTTAATAAAAAGTTAGTTAATTGCAACAATGAATGCAATATGTTGTGATACTTTCATCTATAAAGATTTTTTTTTTTTTCAAATACAAACTCTTCAATATATCCATGTAATACAAAATAGACTTACATTGCTTTTAAAGAAAACCGCTTACAGAAGCAGTGAAAAAGGAAAAAAATTATAAAAAAAGGGAAAATAATTATTGATAATTTAAGGAACAAGCACTTTCTGCTTTTGCCCGCCTATAAAATTTTACATAAATTTTATACGTTTCATATAATCAGCCATGCTTTCTTTTCCCTCCATTGCTAGGAGCGTCTTAATTTTTGATCTTTTTTTTTTTTTTTGAATGGGTGAATAAAAAGGCGAAAGTAAGTAAAGCTACATTATCGACTATGAGTTTGGTACAAAAACTCAGGCATTTCCAAATAATTTCACTCAACCTGAGAATTTTTGCTGACTTTACTTCATAACTATGCTCTAGATGGCCTACGACAGTGCAGTATATCTTAAGTTTGTGTTGGTCTATGTAATACCAAAAGAAATTTGAGATAGCTCCCCCTCCTGTAGTCGTTCATACGAAAGAGGGCTTTATATGTCAACACTGTTTAATTTTGACGAAAATTGCTCTACAAAAGCAATTCGGCATCAAAATTACATCAACGTACTTCGGATCACTTTTTCTTGTGGATACAATCTCATTAAGGCACTTTTACGAAAATCAATATCTTATATGGGAAAAGAAGTCAATTTTTAATATTTTATGATGAATTTTGGTCCATAACAGTTTGACACGAAAATTAACTCCACTCAATTTGGACCTCGGAAGTGTATAGTTTTGACCCATTTTCTAAGGTTTCTCATAAAAAGTAAACCTTTGCATATACATGCAACCTTTTTATTAAGAACGCAGTATATTTTTCATTGATATTTTATGACCAATATAGATGAACAATTTTATCAACTCAAGTGACACAAATTATTTAACAGTCGACCGTGACCGATATATAATGAAATAGTGATTTTTTATTTGATTTTAGTTGAAATCGCTGAAATCAACTTTCATGTGGAAGTTCAATAAACCATTGATAGTATGGAGTCGCCGAGTAGGCAAAAGATGTCGATTAACAATTCAATTGTCGTGGGTTCAAATCTCAAATGCAATAGACTTTCCCATAAAGCCGATACCCTTAGATGCAAGCTAATGCTTTGACAGTTCTTTTAGTCTTAGAATTTATTCCTGTGGCTACATGATTATAATAATAATACAAAGCCAAAGAAATTTAAGTGTATGTATGTAGGCGTCTTTCGTAGAAAACAGTCGATTTTGTACCATATCTTATAGGAAACGTGTTTGACGAGTGTCATGACTAATGTAATTAGATTCAACGATAAAGTACAAAGAATTATGAACAAAAGTAAACGTTCTTTAGACTTGAGACCGTTCTTTGACTTCTGTATTTCTATTCTCGATCTCAGTATAGGACATGTTAATTTAATTTCAATTCCTGAAAGAGTGCAAGAGGGCTTAAAATTTGATCTGCTTCTCAGGTCGCTAATCAGTAAAATGCATTTTACTTTTTTTGATTAATTCTTATGTTATTTGTTAAATGTTAAAGACAAGATAGTTGGACATATGCAAGAGGATTAAAGGCATGTTTGGTATAAAATAAAATATTTGAACGTATGCAAGAAGATTAAAGATATGTTCGTCTCATGTTTATTTGTATTTGCTTTGTGTACTATTTCCCCTCAACACTCAAGTTGCTGACTAATATTATTTCAGAGTGACTGCGTGTCTGAAAGTTTCAAATTACAATTGCAAACAATGCTGTCTGCTGTCTACACGTCTGAGCTTGCTATTGTATGCAGTTGCAGTTACTGGTGTTACTGCGGTTTTCCTTTTCTCTTTGGAAATTTAATGTACTTTACCCTGACGTTGAAAATTGTGCACGTCTTTCTGTTCCTTTTTCTTATACCCATTACTGACGAGTAAAGGTTTCATCATTTTGCCATTTCTCTTGCAATATTCAAATGAACTTGTTTTACATACTAACATGTATTATGTTCAGAATTAACTGGAATTTCTTAGAAACACTAGTCGTCAATTCAAATTAATCATATTGTTCTTCCTTCATTTTTGAATTCGTGAAAGTCAAAGACTTGAAACATAAAACCAGGGCATATCCCCTCTTAGTAAAGAAAAACTAAACATACCATTATATATCCCTATAGAACAATATCAAATGTGAATGAAAGGAAAAGTGTACAATTTTTAAATATATTTGGGTCAACAATTCAATTTTCTTAAAAATGTCAAGTAGTGTAGTATGCAGGATATCACGGAAAGGCTTTGTTAGTTTTCGTAGAGCAATCTTTACCTTTTTTCTCCTATTCATGCACAACACGATGAAGGCAGCGTTCGGATCGTAGTGGTGCATCGGTAAGCTTTATGCCATTATACCGACTGATCATTCACTCACCAACAACGACCCATCGCATTGGGATTTATATCCGCGAATTCTGACTTGATAGTCGCAACATTGATACACTTGGCTATGCGGTTTGGGTTACTTAACGGTTTTGTTGTGTCTTAATAAAGTTTTCTCAGTACTGTTACGTGCTTTATACGTACGGTGTTTGCACAGAGAGTAATTTTAATAACAACGTCAAATCATTTTACTCGAATATGCAAAACCTTATAAAAAAATTAAGGGATGACACGAACTTGTGTTCACTAGAAGTAAAGTACTTTCCCTAAATTTATACAAAACCAAGCGAACATGTCCAGTACACAAAAGTCAATAGTCAGACAAGGACGACCTAGAAAAACCCTGCATTTTTCTTAATACAAATTCTTCATCAGTTTCGTAATAATAAAGGCGTGCTGTTCATGAAAGCCTTTACATGCGGGCAGACCCAAAACGTGACCTCACGTGACCTCAAATTAAAGAAAATTAACTTTCTTGCTAAAAAGTCTTTTGCTCTCTCTTAGTAATAGAATAATACAAATTAGACTCTCTTGCCATATAAAAACTTACATTTAATGAGATCCCATGTTTGGCTTGGTATTCAAAAAAATAGACGTATTTGGTCCAAATTTGGGACCAT